TTTGGAAATAAATGTGCATGTTACTTATATTGACTAGTAAATATTTAATGTATTAAAAAAATATGGACTTGGAATATTCTCATTTTTCTACCCCTCAAAACACACACACACTCACTTGGCTGATCATGTTGAAGTTTAATTTCGCGATGATTATGACTTAATATTTTGTGTCCACTTGCTAATGGCTGACAAAAAATTTAAACTGTTATGTGCTTTAGAATTATGCCTTCATTGTGTGATGCCCCTTTTATGAGGCAATTAATATAACCTTAGACATAATTACATATAGTATGAAAGATGAATGATTATCTTGTTTTCTATTCTGATAACAAGTTAGAGGTCGTCATTGCTTCAAGCATTTCAAGATTATCATCTCATTACATCGATGAGATATGACATCTAATGATATTCTAAATCATCATTTTTATTAGGTGGATATTGCGTATGCGCCATTTGTTGTCGAAAGGTTCAAGCCTTTGTTTTCAGAGGTAAAGAATTATGACGTCACCAAAGGCAGGCCAAAGCTGACCAAATGGATTGAGGTACATATAGAATCATACTGAAATTTGAGCATAACTATTTGTATATTAATTCCATTATTGGTTTCTTTTAGTCTTTTATTGAGTATTCAAAGTATGGAGTTATATTACATCGCCTTTTCCATTTTTTGATAAGATTAAGTCTTTGATGGTGATAAAAAATTAATTTATGAATTATGACAGTCCTAATTTTTCCTATCAAACCTTCTTTGTAGGAGTTGAACAAGATTGATGCTTATACAGCAACTAAGCATGATCCGACAGAGTTACTTGGTGGCATTAAGAAACGATTGGGGTAGGTCCTTTTTTATTTTTTTTATTTGGGTTGAATTCTCTATATTATTAAATTCATCATTGTGGACCGTATTATAATAAGTACACTGTGTATTCAAGCACCTAATTTATAATTATATGTTTTCTTGCTCAGATTGAATGAAGGTCCTCAATGCCCCTTGCAGGTTGAACTATAAACTCTAGCACCTTATTTATATTATTTATGAACATGCACAACTTAAAAAATCATTAGATTCAACAATTTATATTATCTTAAAAGAAGTTCAGGGATAATAAGTGCTTAACCACCTTCAGTACAGGAGAAGCATCTGCAGTTACCTCTTTATCACTTCATGTTATTAATTGGTCGAGGTGCATGAAATTGAATAGTTGACAAAAATATGAGCCATTTTTGTTTAAGGGTTATGATCGAGTTGTTAGTTATACCAATCAACTGTTCATGTTATTAATTGGTCGAGGTGCATGAAATTGGGGAGAAAGTTTATCTTATTATATTGGAGAATAGACCCAACGACTATCATCCAATTGTGGATAGACCCCATGCAATCCTATTGTTGCATATAAGACCCCAGAGTGTTTCTTTAAGTTTTTATCGTTAGAGAAAGAGAAAATTATTTTTTGACAAATAGACGTCCAAAGGATAAAAGAGTCCAAAGATTTCACATAGGGGTCTCTCTGCAATAATAGTAGTACATGGTGTCTATCAGCAATTGTGCGAGGTGTTTATCCACTTATTAAAAGACTCTTGCTCTTTCGTACTCTCAAAACTTTAAAAAATACTATATATATATATATATGGAAAATATGATTCCAAGGAGCCATCTTAGATTAAACCTAAGTTTGCACCTCTCAATGAATAAGAGTGAGCTATTTCAATAGATGATCCGCTCCATTCATCATGATCTAAATATCTTAAAACAACTATAAAATAAAAATTATGACATTTGAATATTTCTAACACATATTTTTCGTTGTCTCTTTAGTTGTATTGTCATAAAACCGTTAATTTTACTATCACTTGATGCATTAGTAAAAACAACCCAATATGCCTAATTTTTGGTTTACATGTCATCCAAATCATATAGATCAAAATAAATAAAGTGGATAAAGTAAATTGATTGCATATAATCTAATTTTGAAGGTGCATTCTTAGATTCAATCAAAGGTGGATCCTTAGATACATATTTCCATATATATATATATAATGAATGTCACTTGTGATCGTGCTCATGTTATTATGTGGATAATGCAGAAATCGCGCATTTGAGTTGACATCCTGTGTTCTGATGAGGTTCATGCTGTTCTTCTGCTTTGTGATGTACAATAAATAAAGTGTAGGTTTGAGGGGTATGTTTGTGTGTAGTATAACAAAAGAGTATTAAGCCTTTAGGGATGGATGGTATTTTTTTTTTGTTTTGTGGACTCCGAGCACTATTATATGTTTAGACTAATAAAGGTTTAATGCTTCTTATATCTGCTGGTACTGATATTGGTTCAAAAGTTTGCTGGTATTTGAATGCTTTGATCTAAGTATGATTACTGCTAGTGTTGATGCATTTGATGATGACTGTGAATTTTGGTATGATTACTGTAAAAATAGTGAATTTTTAGAGTTGAGGAGAGGTAGATGAAAATTCTTTGCACTTGTGAGGGGTTTTAAGGTATTGGAGCTGCTTAATCTCATCCGTGATGGCAGTCTTGATGATCATGTAAGCGCATTAGCTTAATGTATAGTCGTTAGGGTTTTTTGCTTTTTTTTAATATTGTAGATCACAAAGTTTTGATAGACAGATTGCATGACTGGTTGACTAAGGAAGAAAATGATGAAAAATAAAGCAACATAGGATTTTTTTTCTATTTATTTTTGCATATGTATTCATATTATTGAAAGTCTTTTGATTTTTTTGGATGAACAGTAACTCGGTGCTACAGTGTTATCTGTCGACCGACGAACAATACCGTTCAATCGATGATGTGACGTCTCTGGTTTCACACAAGGCTGTAGTCCTAGGTGAACCCAAAGATGTCAAACCTACAATGCACCCACACTGTGCAACAACACATTTCACCATCACAGTAATATCTCTCTAGTGGAATCAACAATAATCAAGTGTAGGTACAAAGCAGATAAAATAAAGATAAAAATGCAATAAACATGATAAAGGAAAGAGATCAAAATAATAATAATCATGTTCCAACTAAAATAAATAAAGTACAACTAATATCCGAAATATAGATGAAATATAGATGAAATATCTCAACACAACTGAAGTAGTACCAAGGCCCACAACCTTCCGCAACTCTAATGTCTGAAAATAAACCATAACTACTGTAGAGCACAAATAAACTACTAATAATAAATAATGATGGAATCTAAGCCGAAACTCTATCAATCTGCGACTCTCCGTGCGCCTGACTCGCAATCAAAAAAGAGGGGAAACAACGAGCGACAAAGCACTAGCAAGAATATCTCCATCGCCCCTAGGGGGATGGGAGGTGTATGAAAATACAAGTTAGTACATATAGATATATAAAGTATCTATCCTGAACTAAGAGGAAATTAATATTTAGAAATTTACAATACAAGAATGGGTACGTCGAGCGAAATAATCCAAACAAGAAAACCCTCACGATATACCTCATATCTCAAATTGTGAATCGCTAAATACCAACTCCAAATCCTATGAATAAGAATAAGCAACAAAATAATACATTACCAAACCTCAATCCAAAACATTTTACAAATGTCACATCATGACGTCTCATACTACCCTCGGACAGTTGGCGCAATTATAAGACTAATAATCCGGTAAAAGAATCTCACATGATATATATCGTGTATGATAGTCTCAGTCTTATACCCTACTCTCAGGTAATTAATCATGGGAGCATGAATGCAATCTGTGCAATTCTCTATCAGAAAATAACAATGCTGAGTAAGGTGCTCACAACATCCTGTGGCAACATCACCTTACTCAATCGCCTTGTGGAATATAGGCATATCAGCCCAATCCAGAATGATGCTCCATAGAGTGTAGTCTGTCACAGTCTCATTTGTGGCATACCAACTAACCCACTCTGAGTCCAGTCTCACCACGGTCTCATTGCGGGATACCAACTAACCCACTCAAGCATCCAGAATACGATGAAATGCAATATATGTCACTCTCTGTTATGACAAACTCAAAGTGTTAGTTCACGCCCCTCAACCTCTTGTGCAAACGCAAACCTAAAACATGTACTCTAGTGTCCAAGCACGTGTCTTGATGTGCGGACCCGAACTTCATATTTACAATCAACTCACATGAAAAAACATCAAGTTCATAAATAACACTAGACCGGCTGATTGATGAATCATCAACGGTCGACCGACGACATGCACAAAGCGTGCACAAAACAATTTAGCCTTAACCGGTCGACCGATGCTTGTGCTTCAGTTGACCGACCAGAGGTAAGTCTTCAATTTATTGTAAACATATGTTTTTCTTACAAAAATAAAAATCTTCACATAAACACATGTTTATAATCTTATTTTAATTAAACATATGTTTTTCTTACAAAAATAAAAATCTTCACATAAACACATGTTTATAATCTTATTTTAATGTAATTAAGGTTCATACCACTTCATGAAAACACAGATATAAATATTTGAGGGAATTCACTAACGCTAACATGATTATATTTATAAATTTGTTATGAAAACAACTAACTTTATCAAAATATCATGTTAGATCTGTATAAAATCTTAAACCTAAATCAGAGAATCCATTTTATAACTTTTTAAATCAAAAAGATTAAATCTTTGTATCATACAAGTTGAAGGAGTTATCTTTAATCATAAATAGGTTTTAAAAATCCGATAAAACCAAATAGAACAAAATAAAAATAGGGAATGGAATTGGAGGAGATGTAACTCGCCTCAAAACGTGCTGAATCTCCCAAAAAAACGCAAGATACCCGATCCTCCTTCACCAAACGCCGACGATCTCACCCTCTTCTTGATTTTTGCTTCACAAAGCTTTCCAAAATTCACGAAAATACTCTAGGGTTTTTGAGAGGAGAGGGGTGGCTAATAGTGTTGGCCTTTTTATTTTGATGATGTTTTAACAAACAATTTATAACTAATATTATTTGTCTAGTGTTAGTTTTTTTCTTATTTATTCTAGGCAAACAATCCGTTGAAGGATGGATGGACTAGAGCTTTCACGATCATATCCTTTGGAGGATGAAAGGAATATTAGTATGAAGTAATGCAATTCACGTTGAAGATCCAAGTTCATGCTTCATCCAAGTTTACCAAGAAGAGCTCATTGAAGATCAAGTTGCTTGGGTAAATAGTTTAGCTGTTATATTATGTGTGTTGGTATTTTAAGCTCAATATCACATACACACACATACATTTTGTTTTCTATGTATATATATAGTTATATATATACATATATGTTTTGGTTCTCAGGTTTATATAAATATGAAATTATATTTTTTTTCATATTTATTGCTTTTGTTTTGGTTTAGCTATATTGATATGAAACAACAAACAATTTTATACACATTCTCATTTGTTTCATATTCTTTGTGTTTTTAGAAAATATTGCATAGAATATGCATTTTTGTGAAAATATTGTATTATTAGTTTTTAGACTTAACAATCACCATATACATATCTTATTAAGTCTATATAAACATTTTATAAAGTTTCAAAATATGGTTTAGTCAAAATATTAAAAACAAGTGTTGTTCATTTTTATGTTTATAAGCATTACCCAAAGTTTTATATTTTTCTGATTTTGTTTGCTATTTTTAAAAGGAGTTTAAAAATCAGTTTTACTATTCATAACAGGCTGATATTATGTTATCAGTAGACTGATGAAAGTGTTCAGTCGACTAATGAAAGTGTTATCATTTTATAAAAATCAGTTTTATTATTCATAACAGGCTGATTATATATGTTGGTCGACTGATGAGGTCATCAGTCGACTGGTAAGGTCGTCAGTCGACTGATAAGGTCGTCAGTCGACTGATAAGCTGGAAAATACCTATAACGGCTCAAAAGCCTCATCGCACCCTAGTGCGGGACGGACTGCTAGATAAAACATCCTAAACCTGACTCAATAGCATGTACAAATTGAATATCGACGCACTAACCCAGTAGTACTGAACTGAGGTCTTCAACAATATCCAGAAGGTGTGTGTATAATATGTACTAAAACTCTTTCTCAAAGTAATCAGGTCAAAACCCATCATAATTCCTTTCAGCATACCCATGTATGTGCTACTATACTATTTATAAATTTACGTATAAAGAAGTGCGGCTCAAAACCCGCAAACATATATCAAACAGATGCAAAACAAAAATTTAGGCAACAATCTTAATAGTCAACTACTAGGCTTAGTAGTCGACTACACTGAGTCTATCCATAATCTGTAATAACATATATTAGTATCAGTAGTCGACTATTAAGAACATTAGTCGACTACTCTGCAAACACATAGTTTCTGTTATACTCAACTGGGCACGAGTTGCTGACTACTAAGCTTAGTAGTCGACTACTCTGTCAAGACACGTATTCTTTCGTGCACAAACAATACTTATGTTAATTGTACATATCATAACATTAAAGCGAGATTTTATACTTGGCATATGCAACAGGAATTATCAGAATCATCAAATTAAATTATTATATCTTCCAAATTAGGGTTTAACATCCTAATTAAACAATTTCTTCAATTATCTCATATGTAAACAAAGTGATTATCAACATATGATAAAAACTACTCATGAACAGAGGTAAAATTTATTTAAACATGTTTATATTACTTAGGCATCACAAACCTAGGGTTTAATCATGATTAATTAACTTGAAAACTCAAAGAAACCTGCACGTAATATATCAATTATTTCAAATCTGCATATCTGCAATTTTTGCAGAACATATCATTAGTAAATTGAGCATTTATTTCTCTAGACAAACTATTTTTAAGAATAGTTTTCTATTTTGGAATTTAGATCCACATATCTATCATTTGGCACTAGTTTGGTTCAGTTTGGAGTTTATATGATATCTCAAATTTTTAGTTAAAAGTTACACACGTGCGGTAGTTTTCTGCAGAATATGTCATTAGTACATTGAGCATATCTTTCTCTAGACAAATTCTTTTTAAGAATAACTTTCTGTTTTGGAAACTAGATCCACATAGCTATCATTTAGCACTATTTTCGTTTAGTTTGGAGTTTATATGATATCTCAAATTTCTAGTTAAATATTATACACGTGCAGCAGTTTTCTAAAATCTATGATGAAAACAAAAACTAAACCTCTTTATAATTCAATTAGACAACAAATTAGGGTTAACACATGAGTTAAACATAATTATCAAGTTTTAGAAAAGG